GGTGACCAAAGTGAGAGGAGGTGATCTGGACGAGCTTGTAAACTGGAGTAATAGAAATGGGATGAAATTTAATTGTGCAAATCATGCATTTAGGGACTAACAAGAATTTTTGCTGAGTTGGGGACATATTAGTTGGAAGTGACAGAGGAGGAGAAAGACCTGGATTTATTGGTTGATCACAGAATGACTGTGAACTGCCAATGTGATGCGGCTGTGAAAAAGGCGAAAGCAGTCATAGGATGCTTCAGGCAAGATATATCCACTAGAGATAGGGAAGTGTTATTGCCATTATACAAGGCACTGGTGAGACCTCACCTGGACTACTGTGTGCAGTTGTCTCCCTTGTTTAAGAAATATAAATTCAAACTGGAACAGGTGCTGAGAAGGACTAGTAGGATCATCAGAGGAATGGAAAACATACCTTATTAGAGGAGACTCAAAACGCTTGGCTTGTTTATCCTAACCAAAAGAAGTGTGAGGGGGAGATATGATTTCTGTCTATAAATATATCAGAGGGATAAATACCAAGCAGGAGAGGAGTTATTTATATTAAGTACCAGTGTGGACACAAGAACAAATGTATATAAATTGGCCATCAATAAGTTGAAATTAGGTGACGGTTTCTAATGATCAGAGGAGTAACTTTCTGGAACAGCCTTCCAAGGGGAGCAGAGGGGGCAAAAAACCTGACTTGTTTCATGACTGAGCTTGATAAGTTTAAGGAGGGTATGGTATGATGAGACTGCCTACAATGACATGTAGCTGGTCTACAACTGCTAGCAGCAAATATCTCCAATGGCTGGCGATGGGACACTAGGGAGGGCTCTGAGTCACTACAGAGAATTCTTTCACAGGTGTCTGGCTGGTGCATCTTGCCCACATGCTCAGGGTCTAACTGCTTTGTCCTGTTTGGGGTCAGGAAGAAATTTCCCCCCCAGGTGAGATTGGCAGAGACCCTGGGTTTTTTTTGCCTTCCTCTGCAGCATGAGGCACGGGTCATGTGGAGGTTTAAACTAGTGTAAATGGTGAATTCTCTGTAACTTGAAGTCTTTAAATCATGATTTGAGGACTTCAGTAACTCAGCCAGAGGTTAGGGGTCTGTCACAGGAGTTGGGTGAGTGAGGTTCTTTGTAGCCTGCAATGTGCAGGAAGTCAGACTAGATGATCATGTTGGTCGCTTCTGGCCGTAAAGTCTATGAGAATCAGACATAAAGTCGTTGAGTATTGCCTAGGAATTAATTTCTGAATTCCGTTCTTTATAAATGATAAATAACAATCAAATAAAAGTAACACCACAAAGCATTTTCTAATTTAGCAGTTTACAACTGCCATCATTCAAATTAACAAAGCTGCTTCTGTAATTCTTGAAAGACTGATGTGAAAATAAGTTATATTGACTATTAAACTCTAAATACTTTAAAAAAAATGTAAAAATTGATTGTGGCAAAAGTGATGGAGTAGTGTTTTAGTTTGTTTTTAAAATAAGAATCAGAGTAGTTGAATCTGTAATTTTATGAAGCCAGCTATTTGAATTACAGATTTGTTATTGTATGACTGGAAATATGAAAGCATTTAAATTTGTAACAAAACAAATTGTTCACAATATATTTTTTAAGAGAAGACCTAAAAAAATATGCCATTATTATTATTCAGAATCCAATAAAAGGTAGATTTTCAAATTATTCCCATATGTGTGTAGGAGTTGCTTTGTTTAGTAATGTTATTTTAAATACCAAAATAATTTGTTTCATATTTTAACTTCTTCACTATTAAAGTGTCTCTTCAGATTCAGTGTTGCTTTGACTGTTGTGTGATGTATAGTAAAACAGTCAATAAAAGAAATTTAACAAGTAATTGAAATCGCAGATTGAGTGTAAAATGTGCCAAATGAAGCAATGGCCTTTGCAGGATATTGTATGGGCGCAGTAGCTATGCGGAAACTGCTATAAAACTATTAAATACATCTTTAAACAATATTTTAAAAGCCTGAGAAAATAAAGCAATCTGATTGGATGACTAACATTCCAACAGAAAAATTAATACATCATAATTCACTTGCTACAACTCATTAGCTACATCCCTCTTGTCATATTAATGTACCCACAAATGCACAGAAAGAATTAACAAGAGAAAAATCGTTAAGAAGGCTTTCATATAATTGTAGATATTTCATTTTAAATAAATATGAAACACCATAGATTTTAGGACCCAGCAGGAGCATAAAGCCGTTTCAAAAAGCTAGCCGAAGCAAAGGAAAAATATTGCTTGTTATGCTGTTTTCTTAAAACAACTCATTCATTTCTGAGCCGTAGCAGCTTTAAAAGACTTAATGACTGAAAGAGCAGTTGGCCGAAATGGGCATAGTTTTATTTTTAAGGTTCAGATACTCAAAAGGTTTTTAAGTGAGCTGCTAAAATTGTGCTCACGATTTTTTGTGTATAAATATCTGGGTATACCAAAATTTGGCTATGTGAGGGCAAATTGCATTTGCAAAGGCAACAGTCTACTTAAGTGTGTAAATGACTGATTTGTGTGTTCAACTTTGGTTTGGCTCATAAATTAGATGTCAATAAAATATATGATTGCCAAACATAAATGTACCTAGGGAGAGCTACAGTTTCAGAGGCTACTTTTGAACATATTATCCCAGGTCCTCAGCTGTTTATATTGACTTAGCTTCATTGATAATAATGAAGTTGATTCAGACCATTTAGTACTGTAGACCTAGTCACACTTAAGTACTAGTCCTTAGTATTTTACACTTGAATAACTCTTTTCCTTACCCACAACCTGCTTCCCCCCCTGAAAAAAACCCCAAAGGTTAAACAAAGTGTGTAAGCTTGAACTTTGTAGTGTTTGCAAATGCCCAATCGTTGGAGAAATACCATTATTTTTGAGTTACTATTTTTATAAACCCAGAATTTTTTAATGGAAGGTATATTATGGTAGGCTCTCAAATGGCTGTCAAATACAGTAACTCCCCACTTAACTCTCGCTTAACGTTGTTTCGATCTTACGTCCCTGCTCCATTACAGAACATGCTCATTTAAAGTTGTGCAGTGCTCCCCTATAATGTCATTTGGCCGCCTGCTTTGTCCATGGCTGGCAGCCCCCTTACGCGCCCCCCCCCCCCCAGCACCTCCCGCCTGCTGGCGGACCCTGCAGATCAGCACCTTCCCCCTGTTCCCCCCACCTCCTGCCCATGGCAATCAGCTGTCTTGCGGCATTCAGGAGGCTGGGGGGAGGAGCGAGGACGTGGTGCGCAGCCTCTTCCCTCCCTGCCCTGCCCTGCCTCCTGAATGCTGCAAACCAGCTGATTGCTGGAGGCAGGGGACAGAGGGGGAGGCTGCGCGCCGCGTCCTCACTCCTCCCACAAGCCTCCTGAACGCTGCAAGACAGCTGATTGCCACAGGCAGGAGGCGGGGGGAACGGGGAAGGTGCTGATCCACGGGGTCCGCAGGCAGGAGGCGCTGTGGGGGGGGGCAGGTGCAGGGGAGCTGATGGGGGGGCTGCCAGCCTGTTTAATACCTGTATTAAATTGCATGTTTAAAATATATATAATGCCTTTTGTCTGGCAAAAAAAAAATTTCCCTGGAGCCTAACCCCTTCCCCCATTTACATTAATTCTTATGGGGAAATTGGATTTGGTTAAAATCATTTCGCTTAAAGTCGCATTTTTCAGGAACATAACGACAACGTTAAGTGAGGAGTTACTGTACATGATTTACAGTATTTCAGTCATTTCTTAAAAGTAATATTACAGCATGAACTTGGTATAATGAAATCTTCTAGGCAGGCCTAGGTAGTATAGTGGTATGGTACATTAGCCTTGATCATCTAAGTGAAGCTTTGAATCTAGAAACTACCTGAAGTTTTGGTAGTTTCATCCTAGTCTCTACACCAGAAAATCACTATATTTGACAGCAATGTCAACGTCTATTTTGGAGAGGCCTAAGACTTGAATAAGAATATATTGCAGGCCAAGACTGTGGTGACTTATCATGATTTTTAAAAATACTAAACCTTAAAGTTGGTTTCACATATAGAATTTAAAAGTAGAATGGAAACCGGTTTATTATTGCCTTACATTAACAGGATTGCTTTACTGTTTATTTAGTACATGTTGAGAAAATCCTCTTCCTACCTATAACAAATTTCAAGTTAAGCAGAATGGGTGACAGCTTTCCTTTAATTACCAGTGACTTATTAAATACTTTTCAAAGATGTTTTATATGTATGGTACATGATTAGATGGAACAAAATATTTGGTATACTAGTTGAAGAAAGCAGTTCAAGTAGGTATTGCTGCTCTGGGAGTGTGGAGGGGGTAAAATGGGGCCCACCCAGGGCCACCCGCCCCCAGTATCCACTGGACCCAGAACAGTGCAAGCGAGACCTCCCGGGGGGCACTAAGACCAGTATGGCGCATTTCCCTCCAAACAGCCAATTGATATTTGGGAAAGAGACTGCAGATAGTATCTTGCCAGAGACTGGCACTCTGAACAGTCTCTCCACTGATTGGCTGTTTGTGCCAACCTGTCTCATTCCTCCCTTTCCTTAGGCTTTTCATTTAACTAATCCTCCTCCTAACCTAATATCACTGAATGGATTTAAATAAGACAAAACCAAAACAAACATGATGTTTGCAACCATCTATTATTTACTCTGTTTGTTCTGTCCTTTTCCACTACCCTGTATTTAGTTTGTAAACTCTTTAGGTCAGGGACTTTATCATATTCTATGTATGTACAGTGCCTAAAACAGGGGCAGTGGCAGCATTCTTGCTTGGTCCCTGGACAGTGTCATAATAAACATGATTGTTTTTATTATTAATGTGAATGTAACAAGTGTTTGTTTCTTGTTTGGTCAAATGATCTTAAAGAAAGATTTGTTTAAAATATCATTATAGCGGCAGACTGTTAGAAACAGTATCAGAGTTTTATAATTGATTGTGTGATTCCTCTCAATTTTTTAATGAGCTTTTGTCTCTCTTTATGCAGAGATTTGAAAGGTGTTATAGTTACTCTGAGTGACAGTGGGCACCTGCAGTGTTCCTACCTTGGTACCGATCCTTCTCTGTTCCAGGCTCCTAAGGTTGAATCTAGGGAAATAAACTATGAAGAACTTGACAGAGAAATGAAAGAGCTTCAGAAAATCATCAAGGAGTCCACAAAAACACAAGGTACATCCGTTCTTCATATAGTTGTACTGTACCACCACAACCACCTAACTTTTATATGGCAATTTTCCATACTTTTGTCATTGTTCTACTTTGACCATACTTAACAGTGCACAGAAAATGTAATATTAAATGTATTCAGGTCAAAGCATTTCACTGTCTCTTAATTACAACTGTGCAAACAAAACCATACTCTGTGGCTCTTGGACACATAAGGTATTTGTTTTCATCATGCCTGTTGGACCCTGCGGTAGGCCTATGTCAGATCTCAGAGCAAGCTTATTAGTGCTGTGCTTCAAAGAAAAAACTGACAGTGGGGTATAGTCTCCTATAAAAAGGCAAGAAAAATTCAGTAATTTCACAAATATAGTCTAGTGCACTTCTCAGGCTTCAGAAAGAACAAAAGTGTTGCCAGTTTTCTGTTTTTTATTAAACATGGTTTCTAGAATGTTGTGAAATTAGCAAAGAATGAGTTGTGTTAAAGTCACATTTCTGTTACCTCTTTCAAAATTGGAAATACTTGAATATGGCAAAGGAGTTACAAATGTGTTGCACTGCACTAAAGAAGCGATCATTTCAAACTGTGGAATTTACATGCACACCTAATTACTTGACCAAATGTAGTGTAACTTATGGCACAGCATTTGGAAACAGTTCCATCCAAGGTTACATTTTTCGTAGCTGAGTTTTTAAATTACTCAATTATCTTGCCTGGAGAATCACAAGCATACAATTTTACTGGGAATTGTGAAAAAATAGTCTCAGCTAAAGTTATGAAAGACAGTATTTTAAATACGCTTCAGTGCCTGCCAGGGTCAGGTAAATGAATTCTTAAAAATACACTGAAGAAAATCGTTCCTATTAAGGAAAGTCAGAAATGAAACCCTGGTACCTGCACATTACTGGATTCATGAGGTTGCTTCTGCAAGTTATAGATCAGGAGTCGGCAACCTGCGGCATGCGTGCCAAAGGTGGCATGCGAGCTGATTTTTAGTGGCACTCTGCTGCCAGCCAGGGTCCCGGCTGCCAGCCTGGATGGACGGAGCCCTGGGCCAGCAGCGGGCTGAGCGGGGCTGGCAGCCGGGACCCCGGCTGGCAGGGGCCGGTGGCCGGAACCCCAGACTGGCAGTGGGCTGAGCAGCTCAGCACGCTGCTGGTCTGGGGTTCCGTCTGCTGCCTGCATTGCCGGTCTAAGGTTCTGTCCGCCGACCCCTGTCAGCCGGGGTCCCGGCTGCCGGCCCTGCTGAGCTTGCTGTCAGCCCAGGGTTCTGTCCATCCAGGCTGGCAGCGGGATGAGCGGGGCCGGCGGCTGGGATCCCAGACCGGCAGCGCAGGCAGCCGATGGAAGCCCACACTGGCAGCACGCTGAGCATACTGCAAGGTGTGAACCTTCAGGTTCAAATCATGTCTCCTGGAGAAATGTTAGTGAGGTTTTGATCTCGTTTTAATTGCATGTAAAGCTTCTCAGAAAATCCCTGTTACAACAGAAATCTTTCACTTGGGGGGGGTATATAAATGCCTTTTAGTTTTTGCATGTTGTGGGTTACATTTAGTTTTTTTTCTCATATCTTTGAAAAAACTCTTAACTGTTAATCAGGGATAGTTGAGTACCAAAGATTCTGGAACATAGGCAGTCATTCATACTGTATACATAACCTTTAAACTAAAGTGAACCATTAACTTTTCTGTCTTGTGGTTTCATGTGTGAGCAATGGTCTTGTGTTCTTTATTACTTTAACTGTTACGTTTTGTGAGAGCTTTCTGGATGGTTCAGATGATTGAGAATAGAGCCTTTCACATCTTAGCCACCAATTGAATTTAGCCCGGCTGATAGTGACCAAAAGTTGGTACTATCTGACAGCTATTTGATGATCTGTGTGAGATGGATTTGTAATCTCAGTCCAGTTCCTGATGTAGAGATGACCATATGATAAAATTCTCACCATCATAATGGGCACTAAGAAGAATGTTTTTAGAAATCTTAGCAAAAAGAATTGAATAGGCATAGTGAATGAACTGTCCTCTTATCGATACAAGTGGTCACTATAGGGCATACTTGAGTTCTACTTGTAGAAGAGAGTTGGGAAACTTCTTAAGTGCTATCTTTTCCCTGCCTAGATAACGAAAGGACTTGAATGTGACATCTCCCATTGGCTCTAAAAAATGAGCATGAAAATTTGAATTGACACTCCTTTCTTCACCAAAATCTTTTTCTCTAGGCTATGTTGTCAATTAAGTGGATCAGGTAACTACATTTAATTTGTAGTACATTTGAAACATTTATGCACTCTAGATGTTAGAGTTTTTACAGGATTATGGAAGTATTGATAGATACCCCATAATTAAGGTTATATTAATTTTTTTCCTATTATGTGAGGGTTTCATTTTTTGTTTTTTTAGGAAGGTATGCAACCTATTTTTTAAAATAGACTTACTATGAGGGAATAAAAGTAATTCTGAAAAAGATACAAGTAAATACTTTGAAGAGTTAGGAGTTGTCAAGGTTCCCTCCCCACCCTGAACTCTAGGGTACAGATGTGGGGACCTGCATGAAAGACCCCCTAAGCTTATTCTTACCAGCTTAGGTTAAACGCTGCCACCACCAATGCGTTACACAAAGAACAGGGGAAGTGCCACTTGGAAACGTCTTCCACCCCAAAAAAATATCCCCCCAAGCACTACACCCCCTTTCCTGGGGAAGGCTTGATAAAAATCCTCACCAATTTGCATTGGTGAACACAGACCCAAACCCTTGGATCTTAAGAACAATGAAAAAAGCAATCTTAATTAAAGAAAAAGTAAAAGAATCACCTCTGTAAAATTAGGATGGTAAATACCTTACCGGGTAATCAGATTCAAAACATAGAGAATCCCTCTAGGCTAAACCTTAAGTTACAAAAAGACACAAAAACAGGAATATACATCCCATTCAGCACAGCTTATTTACCAGCCATTTCAACAAAACAATCTAACGCATATCTAACTAGATTGCTTACTAACTCTTTCCAGGAGTTCTGACCTGCATTCCTGCTCTGGTCCCGGCAAAAGCATCACACAGACAGAGAGAACCTTTGTTTCCCTCCCTCCCCTGCCCCAGCTTTGAAAGTATCTTGCCTCCTCATTGGTCATTTTGGTCAGGTGCCAGCGAGGTTATCTTAGCTTCTTAACCCTTTACAGGTGAAAGGGTTCCTCCTCCGGCCAGGAGGGATTTAAAGGTGTTTACCCTTCCCTTTATATTTATGACAGGAGTTAAAATTACTTTTTAAAAAATTGGGGCTGTCTCACCATTTTAAAGATGCTGCAACTTAAAATGCCTTCTTTTAACTCTTAAATCATACTATGCATGTTAATCTGCTTATAATTTCATACTGTACATATTATTTATTACTACATCCCTTTTGTGAAAATAGGCACACAGGACAGAAACTAGTCTGTTGCATTCCTCTCTGTCATTTGCTGCTGCTTCCATCTGCTCTGTGGTGTTATGATTAGACTATTTTGCCCTCCCTGCTAAAAGTTCTTCTTAAGGTTTCTCTTGGGCGTTCTCACATCAGTTGGTTTCCACTTGACAGCTTCATTTGCGAGTCGGTGTTTTGGGATCTGGAGTACATGCCCCAAATACATTCAATGCTTCCTTCTGAGTCTGGTGGAAATGAACTTATGGTTGGTGATTTCATGGATCTCTCCACTGGTAATAGTCTTTCCAACCAATGCCCAGAATCTTTCCTAGGCACTTATTTTTGAATGTGTCTAGTTTTCTGTCTTATGTTTTGGTAGATCTCCAGCTTTTGCAGCCACATGTTAGCACTGAGATAATGTTTGAATTGAAAATTCTCTTTTGTTCTGATGTTATAGATCTTTGATTCCTGTATACTATTAAGTTTAGAAAATGCAGTGGGTGTCTTGATGTCACTTCCTTTCTGAGATCTCCATTGGCCAATATGGTGCTGAACTATTCTACTTTCTTGATATGTTTGCCTTCTAATGTGATCTTCTTAGAGTGCTGTCCCTGTGGGTGCTCCACTTCAAGTGTTGGTGCGTCCTGGCGCCGTCTATCAGAGATTTATGGTAGCAGTGTCCACCTGGGTCGCGCATGTGCAGTAGGTGTCTCGCAGTGCTCTGGTGCCCTGCGTAGTGCGTGCATGACTTGAGTCCTCCATTTCCTTCTCAGCTAAAGACAGAGCTCAAGGACCATGTCCGTTACTCTCACCAAACCTTTAAAAAAGATAGAAGTGTAAATAATTAGTTAATCTTTTACAAATTATAGTTAGTGTTAGTGATAGTTTTAAGGGGAAAAAAAAGTCCCCACTCCGGGGTCAGTTAACCGTCAGAGGTGCCTGACTCCCCAGGCTTTAAGTGTTGCGGCTCTTGCTGTGAAGTAATGCCGGTTTCGGATGGATACTCTTTGTGTGTCTGATGTCTTGGGGAGACGCGTATCCTGCAAAAATGCACCCACTGTGGTAATCTGAACGCGAGAGCCCGGCGTGACCAAGATCTCTCCTTGAAAATGATACTGATGAAGAAATCTCTCCAATCAGAGCCAGACAAGTGGACCTCCTTTCTGGGCTCTTCTCCCAGGAGACACGCCTTCCTCTAACATACTGAGGAAGAGCGCACAGACCTCTCCGCAGAGAGCATCATGGAAAAATAGGCGGTCTCCTGCCAGGTTGCTACCCCCGATGCAGACACATGGTTTGGTGAGCACCTATGATGGTCCTGGCTCCGCCAAGTCCCGAACAAAGGAGACTGTGTTGTGCCGTAGATGGCAACATGCTTCCTGCACAGCACCAAATTCACCCATAAGGGACCTGGTGCCGAGTGTCTCCTCAGGCATCATGCGTCCGCTCCTGGCACTGATATTGCAGTTGGCACTGGCTGAGAAAACCAAGTCAGCACCGATGGCGCCCACTAAATCAATGCTACATATGATGGCACAAATGTCAGCACTGACGAGAGTGACCCCACCGGTGCTGACAGAAACTAACTGACAACAACAACAGCAA